CAGCGGGGGAGCTGAGGCCGAGGGCCCGAGTCCGGTCACTGTGCTGACTACCGCTCCCAGGCATGAGGCTTCTGCCATGTCCATGTGGACTGAGCCTGGGGGCTGGGCTGGGCCCTCCTGGGCTGCCCTGTAGAGCATGGGCCAGAGAGCGAGGGACCACAGTGGACGGTAGAGTGGAGGGATCCACCCCTGAGCAGCAAGGCAGGGAGGGACAGGGCTGCCCTCACAGTTCAAGGAGTGGACACCCTGACCCCAGATGTGCGTGGGGCTGGAGCCTCGGGGGGATCCAGGAAGGACCTCTGGACCTCGGGCCTGGGGGTCAGTACTCACAGGGAGGTGGAGCATTCTGGGGGGCCATTGCTGGGAGCGGACAGGTCCAGGGAGGGGCAGGTGTGGTGCCAGGAGTGGCAGCAACGTTGCCTTGGCCCTGTTCTGGGGCCCTGACTTGGGACCTGAGGCCAGCAGGTGGGGCCACTGTGTCTCCCTGTGGGGCCTTGGCACTGGTGGGCCTGGGCTTCCTGTCCAGCACCTGAGGTCCTAGAGGGCTTGGGTTCTGGAGGGTGGGGCCTGGGTGCTGGGCTGTGGACTCCAGCTCCCCCTGCCTCCCTGTGCCCAGCCCCAGGCTGGTCCCAGGAGGGGAGGGCTCTGGAGATGGGAAGGGGAATCTGTCCGTCTCGGCCACCTTGGGCCTGTACAGCGGGCAGGGCTTAGTCCTTGAGGTGACTTTTGGGTGTGTGGGCATGGGTCAGGACTCACCTTCACCTGAATCCCCGCCCAAGGGGCAGCAGGCCATGGGGTCGGGCAGGGCCTCACTCCCTGGGGCCCTTCCTTCTGCCCACGCTGACCTCCTGTCCCTCCGCAGCCCCAGGACCATGAACAGCACTTGCAGCACCGTCTCCTGGCCCCCTGGTCTCAAGCACGTCTTTGTCACCTACTCGGGCACGCTGATGGTGCTGGGCCTGCTGCTCAACGGGCTGGCGCTCTGGGTGTTCTGCCGCCGCATGCGGCAGTGGACGGAGACCCGCGTCTACATGACCAACCTGGCCGTGGCCGACCTCTGCCTGCTCTGCTCCCTGCCCTTCATGCTCTTCTCCCTGCAGCACACCTCCGACACCCCGCTGTGCCAGCTCTCGCAGGGAATCTACCTGGCCAACAGGTACATGAGCATCAGCCTGGTCACGGCCATCTCCGTGGACCGTTACGTGGCCGTGCGGCACCCGCTGCGTGCCCGAGGGCTGCGCTCCCCGCGGCAGGCTGCGGTGGTGTGTGCGGCGCTCTGGGTCCTGGTCCTAGGCTCTCTGGTGATCCGCTGGCGCCTGGGGCTGCAGGAGGGCGGCTTCTGCTTCCGGAACTACGCCCGGCATGACTTCAGCACCACCACTTTCTCACTACTGGGCTTCTACCTGCCCCTGGCCGTGCTGGTGTTCTGCTCTCTGCAGGTGGTGACTGCGCTGGCCCGGAGGCCAGCCTCCGAAGCCGGCCAGGTGGAGGCCACCCGCAGGGCTTCCCGCATGGTCTGGGCCAACCTGGTGGTGTTTGTAGTCTGCTTCCTGCCACTGCACGTGGTGCTGACGGTGCAGGTGGCCACGGGCCTGTCCTCCTGTGCAGAGCGCAAGGCCTTCAGCCGGGCCCTCTCCATCACCAGCAGGCTCTCGGACGCCAACTGCTGCCTGGACGCCGTCTGCTACTATTACATGGCCAAGGAGTTCCAGGAGGCCTCCGCGCTGCCCACGCCCTCCGGCACCAAGGCCCACAAGAGCCAGGACTCTCCGAGCCTCACCCTCACCTAGCGGGCACTCACTGTGGGCCAGGTCTCAGGGCTCTGGGAGGGGCAGCTTGCCAGGGCACCTGGGGCCGACGTGGAGCCCCGAGACAGACCCTGGCCTCACCCTGGTCTGTGGGCCTCTAGGAGGCCAGTGGAAGGGCTGGACACAGGTTTGCCGAGCCTCGGTGGCTTCGCTGCTATCCTGGGAAGGGACAGGGACAGCAGCCAGAGGATGACTCCTGAGGGGTCAACCCAAGGACCCTGGGACAGGGACACACAGCTGTCACCCTAGAGCTGACTCCCTGGGCACCGGGTGGGGCCCTGACAACCTTCTTCTGTGGACCCCCTGGCAGGGCCCTCTGTCACTCTCACCCAGTCCTCGCCCTGGGTGGGGCTGCAGTGGCCTGGGTGTCTCCCTCCTTCCCACCCTTTCTCCCAGGCCCCTGCCCCTCTGCTGAGCCTGGTCTTCCTGGGGCTTGGTGGCCCTGGGGCTCTTAGGACATGCGAAGCCCTCCTGAGGCGAAGGCCTGGCTCCGCCCCCCACTCCCCTGCAAATGCCACCCAGCGCTTGCTGCCTCACGACACCCACCCCTCCCCCAAGCCCCGGCAGCCTCTGAGGGGACCTCAGGCAGCCTTGGCCCCAGGCCTGTGGGGTGCGGCCTGCGCGCAGTCTTGAGGCCCTTTATGGAGGTGGGGCTCAGCCACTGCCACCAGAGCATCCGCCAGCACCCGGAGCTGCTGCCCAGGCCTAGGGCCACCCATCCCCAGGCGCCCTAGCTTGTTACCACCTGCCAGTCTGCCTCGGACACTCCTGAGCCCCATGCCTGCACTGGGCATGGCCGGGTCACACTGTCCTGGGCAGTGTCAGGTGAGCAGGGCAGGGACAGTGCTGGGCAGCTGGCAAGGCC